CCGTTTATCATAATGATGTAAAACCCTTATCACGTCTCGAGAAGGAGAGTAAATATTCTAGTACACTCTTACCTACTGGAGATCTGCCTAAACCGAGAAATAGCTATGATTTGGATTCAGCTGCAGGTATGAAGACAACAATTGGTTATAAATGAAGTCAATTTACAATATTAACATCGTCCACTTCTTATGATTTAGTGACTCAAACGCTCTTTGAATAAACGTGTAATTTGCAGTTTTACTCAAGGGATTACTCCTCTTCCAATTAAATAAATTAAATATGTCAATATGAGTTGAGTTAAAGAGATATCAAAATAAAATCGTGCACGTTTACTGTTAGCTGCCTTTGCCGGGGTAGATCATTTGAAAATATAATAATGGAGTACATTATTTAAACTCGTAATGAGTTTATTCCTGAATAAAATGCAATCGGCCAGTAATAATAAGGCTTTTCTTGCTCAACTCTTCATCGTGATTGCCTTTATTTGGATATTGGATAATGGTCTTTAAATCTTGATCGATGCGATAACCGCTTCATGACTAGAATGCGATAAAAAACAGAGCCCACACCTGCCCGATCTTCCGATTGAAGAATATCTCTGAAACTCCTATAAGAACCAAAGCCTTAGTTCATTCCACTGCTTATCGATGGTATTATGCGAGCAATGAACCATTAATCCACTCATATGCCTCGAAGATCTATCGCCACTCTTTTTATGATATTGCTGCATAACCTTGACGCGTAATGATTAAGTTTAACAACACAAGTAAAACTTGCCATACACTGATGTGCCAACCATATGCAGTCACCGGACAAAAGTATCGAATCAGCTTGACAATCAATTAAAACATATGAAAGGTCTGATTTTTCGAACTTCTGTATTGGCGTATTTACTAAGCAAGCAACCAGAATTTTTGTATAAAATACTGACAAATTTACACAACGTATCATAACAAAGCTGAAGTGACAACATACAGTGGTGTTCAAAAATGGCACAAATAAATTTCCTTCTAACTCATCGCACATTGCTCCAAATAATATGATGTAAACTTTATTTAAAAGTCAGAGAGGTACTGATTACTGATTTATTATTTAATAGGGGATGCAATCACTATTGTTTTCTATAATTAATTTACATCGATGCTTTATCGAATCTATTAAATTAATTAGGACGAAATTTGGAATATTGTCCCACACTTCAGTCATAAACTGTTCCAGTTCCTTGGTTTACGTCTTTCCACATTTGTTTTAATTATGTTCCAAAGGTTTTCAATAGGATTAAGGTCAGGACTGTTTGGAGGGCTAGCCCAAAACCATTGGAACATTGTTCTGAAGAAATTCCTTTGTAATACGAGAGGTATGCTTAGGATCGTTATCTTGTTGGAAGCGCCATCTACCTCCCAACAGTCATCTTATTTCTGGGAGGTGTTGTTCTAATATTCCAACATAGAAATTCGCATCCATAATGTTACTGAAGCAAAAGAGACTGGTCTTCCTTTTTGCACAAAAACCACCCCATGCCATAATTTTACGTCGATCTTTCGGCATTGGGCGTATTGGCCTTGCACCTTTATGCCAGTGTTTAATTGTGTTACGAAACAATTGGAAGGATGTTTCGTCAATGAAAACTGTTCGTTTCCAATTGTCATTTAAATGTTTCTTGGCCCATATTACCCGACTTTCTTTATGAACCTTTGTCAGCATGGGAGTGGTAAGAGGAAGGCTGTTTTTGTAATCATGTTCAGCCAAATGCCGTCCTACAATTATGCGAGAGACTACAGTTCCTTCCTCTTTCAATTTACTGGCAATTAATTTAGTAGAAATAGTCGGGTTTCTTCGAACATACTGGCCAATTCTGCGAGCATTAATATCGGTTATAGTTCTTTTACGACCATTTTCCCCTCTGTGCTTTATATATTTCCTTTTTCTCTGTTTTTTTTTTAGGTTGTAATATATTGTTCTAATTGAATCTTAGTCAATGATTGTATTCTGGGGCTTCACGTATTCCCTTCTCCCAATAATATAATATCGTTTGTCGTTGTATTTTGTTAATGGATTGCGACATTTTACACTTTTGTTTTGGGAAAAGCGCGAAGTAAGTTAAAAATAAGTCTGTTTGGAAATTTATTTTGATCATTTATTACGCGTTTATTTCGAAAACTGGTCGAGTTACGTATATGCGGATTATTTCTAAATTTGGAGGATGGCTAAAGCGGAGCAGAACGTGACTTAATTCTTGCAATTACATTGGTCAAATTTGTATATCAACCAATGAAACTGTAAAAAACTACTCCGCTTTAGCCTACCCCTAAATTTGTGCCATACATTTTTACATATGTAACATATATACTGACAGTTTGGCAGATAATAGCTCCATTATAACATTTTGCTTAAATTCATGAGTATTTTATTCAAATACTACAGTTGTTTGCTTAGTAAATAATGCCAATACAGATGTTCGAAAAATTAAATTTTTCATATGTTTTACTAATTGATCGTCAAGCTGATGTACGAAATAATGCACCATTCCTAACCTCTGAGTCTGAACAAATACTGGCTAGTTTTGCAATAATATTATTATTATTATTTCATTGTTCTTGAGGTAAGGTTTTTTCCAATGATTTGTTCAATAGCGCGGATCGAAGAAGCATTCTTTGGTATATCATCCTTCCGCAATCTTTTCTAAGTCGTCTGAATAAAGTCCAGAATAAGTAATGCTGCAAGACTAATATTCAAATCACCCATATGTTGCCCAAATAGACCATGAATTGTTTCAGCATTCAGGGGAAACAAAGCAAGAACATCGGTTGAAGACGACACGAACAAGCTGCACTCCTCTTCTCCGGCTATGCCCGATCCCTCCATGTGACCAGGACCAACGCGTACACTTTTAAAATGAGTTTCGATGGGTATTCTGTCTTTATAAAGCAATCCTCGGGCTTTAAATCTGTAGAGAAAGGAGAAGAGTTTTAGCAAAAGAACAATAACCAAGACAAATTCATAAAAACCCGACGAAAGAAATACCGCGATGTGCAACATGATGGTTGCTCTATAAGTAAGCGAGTGTCCCGACAGCCGCTAAAGCAATTTATTCAGTCTCCAAGCTTATCTTCTGTACTTCTACGTAAAAACCTTTGGCACTACCTGAAGTTGCATTTGTCTCTGCTCGTCTTTTTCTAATCCTACTTCGCTAGCATACGACATTGCCGAAGTTATAGTGTCATCCAACTTGGGTGCGGATTTGATGTGGTGCTAATGGTGTGAAATAAATAATAGTTGGCCGAAATAAATAAATATATATATATATATATCCCAACAAATTTGCATTCCCAGCCATTAGAAATACTGTCAACCTTACTATTTACAACTCAATAAGAGCTTGTAAATTGTCATCACCTTTTCGCATTCCTTAAAAATCAACAAACTAAAGTGATCGACATATTCACTGTCATATATCCACGTTACACATTCCCTTATCAGTAACAGCAAACTGTTAGCGATAGGAAATAGTATTTAATTTTAACTGGATAAAGTCCCAAGCATTGTATACAACATACCAATATTTTACATGCTAGGCTAATAATCAATATATTGATATCAATATGGTTAGAATGTTATTTTTAAAAAAAAAAAAGGCTGTATCAGTGGCCAATGATTACCCGCTAGAATTTCTGTTAGTAGCCATAGCAAATGGTTAAATCCGAGATTGTAAATTTATACTTGAAGAATATTTGTCATTTGTTGAGACATAGTGTAAACTGCTCTTACTCACGTGTAGCAAGGTTACTTATATACCAGGCGAGAAGTGAGTTACTAAAAAGCAACAAGTAACCATAACATCTACATAATATGCTTTTATAAAGATTTGCCGATCGATTAGGCCCTTCTTTCTTTGTTTCAAGAAATAGATAGAATACTCACGTATTAGGCGGGTCTACTAATTGATAAAGTGGCAATAGAATATCATGACAAGGTAATAGCTTTATTTGAAATATAGTCTTGGACCACAACATTTGGAAGGCTTATCTCATTAGAACGCTAGGTCTTGAAATAATAAGAATGCAAACAAAAAACCTATTTTGAGGGATAAAGACAACGTACCTTCAATAAATTGACACCATTCATTCTCACCAAGTAATAAGCGTACTGCCATACTAAAAAATGTGAAAGGAAACTGATAACATGCGTCAAATCCGTGATACTGTTTCCACGCAGAAGAGGAGAAAGGGGGGGTGGTTTGGCTTAACCATTGTAGGGTTGTTTACTATAAATTTTATGGTTAACTTCAATTCTGCGTCCGTGTTCCAAGCAGATCTTGGAAATTTTGGCCTGTTCGCTTTTCACGAGTCGATTTCCATTACAATACGTTTACATTACATAATTTAGCGTATGTTGCTGTGGGTGAAAAGCTTACGATATCTGTAAACACATTAGTATGCTGGTAAAGTCATGTGACAAATGAACAGCAGTTTTCTCTTGATGCACTGATTGGTTTTCGCAATGCATGATTCAACGTCTATTCAAAAAACGTGGTGTTTCGCAAAAACAAATCTTAGAAAATAGTTCCCGTTCCGAAAATAATGGAAGGTATGTAGTTTTGGTAATTTGGGTAATTCCGAAGAACTGAGACTAGTCGTCCTGTTCTGTGGTATACTGAATATGCGAACACAGCGTAAATAGACAAAGTGAACTTCAAATCTGACCACCATCTAACCAATCGTGAACGTGCTAATGCGTTCTGCATACCCAAACTATTTCCCAAACACTTTCTAGCCGCGCATGCATTACCAATAACACCACAGCAAACAAGCAACACCCACAACCACACTTCTCCGGCACATTCTCCTACACTCACTATGAAATTTATCTCTTCTCCTACTTTCTCTCTCCCTCCTTCGTCTCCCTCTGATCCGGTCTCTCTTCCGACTCTTCCTACAGAAATCTTTATAACACTCTGCTACTACATCTCACCTCGCGATTTGATATCTCTCTCTTTGACATGTCGTCTTTTCAACTCATATCTATGTTCGTCGACTTCATCAACTACACAACACATATGGCGGAGTACGCGTAAGCAATATTTTCCCAATGCTCAATCAGAGCCTTATGACGGTCTTGATGAGAGAATCTACACCATATTACTTCTCGATAGAGCATGCGAATACTGTAAACAGTTACATACTTCAAAAATTCCTCCCCGGTTTAGAACGACAAAAACTATTAGAGCAAAGAGGAGACAAGGGCTGGATATAGAAAAGATTACAGACGTTGATGATGAGGTTGAAAATGGTGATGCCATTGACGGCAGGGAATTCTGGGCGAGGAAATCCTGGTGGGATGGGTTAGAGATCGACACTGGTGATGAAGAGTGGATGGACTCGGAGGATGAAGAAGAGTATTATGACATGTTTCATGACGATGCCGACGATAATTATTGGATTCATGGCGAGGACGATAAGGAATCCGAGGAGGAAACCACAAATTGATAGATAGATTAAATTATACAGCGTCAGACTAATTATTAGAAAGCAAAAAGCACAATATACATGAAGACAAGTAGACATTTTATTGATGCAGAAGCACATTCCGGTAGTCTAGTTTGCTGACACATCTGTGCGTTGGGTATCTGTATGTATGTAATAGAGTGAAAACAACATCAACAACAAAAAAACGATGAAAACCAAGAATTGAAAACCAAAAAGGAATATATATCTATATGTTCCATCTAATATTTTGTGAAAAAACTAATCACGTGTTATAAATACTTTATCACATGACTGTAGACCACCACACACACACTATTGATGTCAAAAAAAAAAAAAAATGGCGATTAACAATCTAACTAAAAATTCACACGAGTGCGTTTTGTATATCGCACATAATCATAATCATCGGTAGAATGTCCAGCTTTCGCTACGCGTAATCCGTCTATTCTGAGTTAACGTTGATTCGACTGTTTGGGTGGACGACCTCGACGTCTAATTAACCAATACAAAAAAGGTAAGTTTGGATTAATTACTCAATATGACGATTACAATTCATGTGAAAATGCTGTAATTAATTATCATATACGTCACAAAATTGCAATATTTTCTTTTTAGACGACCATTGGCAAGACTTACTTTCGTTTAACCCCGAACTGATCGACCAACCAACTCAACGATCGACCATTCCGCATTTTCTCGAGCTCATCTATAGCGGCTTCGAGTCCCACTTCCTTCTGTCTATTCATAATCTCTGTCAATATCTTTTTCCTCTTTGTTAATGTCGTTGTATTTTCTTTTGTCCATTTGGTCCCATACGCCTCGATCAAAGACTGTATCGATGGATTCCCATTAATCCCGTTGAACCATTCATAATACAACTCCCTCACGGAAATCGTTTCGATGACATCTGGAAGGCGTGGTCGAGCAACCGGCGTTGGCGAGGGGGAAGCATTTGTAAATGTTGTTGTATTTATTGAGCTAGACCAATGATTGGCAGGACTCGGCGTTATTGATGGACTGCCGTCAATGACAGCTTTTTCGTTGTGCATTTCTGGTGTTCGAAACACAGGATTTCTAGGTAGTATAAGTACAGGCGATTGAGATGGAACAGAGTTTCTTAATGTCGGCGATTGAGCGTCGAGATTATGTTGTTTTACTCTATTATTAAGATATTGTCCTTGTGGTGGCGTATGTAGCGAAGAATGAGGAGACGGTTGCTGCTCTTGCGGACTAGAAAAGTTTTGTGGTATTAGAGATTGGTGGTAAGCGCTGATTAAAGCATCGGAGTTGGGCTTAATATTGTCATTAGATTTTCTAGATACCGTTTTGGATGTTCGTCGTCGCTTGTTTCTGTTAGAATTATTGGGTAGATTTGATTGTCTACGTGTAGGTAATGATGGAACATCGGTTGGTGTTTCAAGTCGACTTTCAGATGATAAACTACCCGACGATGATGTTACAACATTCTGAGCATTAACCGGGGTATTAGATTCTGGCGGAGAGGGTGCCTGAATATGAGCTTTGTCAGCTGCTTCATTGTTCCTATCTTTATTAGATTCTGGTGGAGAGGGTGCCTGAATATGAGCTTTGTCAGCTGCTTCATTGTTCCTATCTTTATTACTGTTCTCTAGATCTCTCGTATTATTATCATGGCTTGTGGATTCAAGCTCCGGTGGTTTGGGAATAGATTCAAGCTCTGGTGGTTTGGGATCAGGTCCGGTACGGTAATTTTGGCTTGATATGTTTCGTAATAATTCGTCTACGTTTATTGGTCCCGGCACAACACTCTCTTTAGGGGGCTGCCGTTGTGCCGAAACTTGCGATGACTCTGTAGAAGTTGTTGTTATCTTAGCTGGTTGTATGTCCGTATTTATGTAAGTATTACCATATGTCGCTGTCGACGTTGCAACAGTAACGGTAGTGAGTTTTATGGTAATTGTTGTCTCTGACGTAGTAACGGTTTTAACATCGCCGGTAGGTCGTTGAGCTTCAATTAAATTCCTCAATGCTCCCAATGTTGCTGTTTGTTCTTGTTGCTGATCCATTAATAGGCTTTGACACGTTAATAAGAAATAGATGTTGGGAGGACATGAATTTCCGTGAATTTCCATAAATTTCCTTTTTAGAAATTCACCCTTGTAATACACAGACAGCATAACTAAATTGACAAGGAATTTTATTTTTGTGTCAAAGTGACGAGACGATTTTACAGCAATAGAAGACTAGACAATTATGAATAAACATTGGGCGAATTGTACGAACCACACGCGTTCCAATTACAGAATGAAAATTAAAACTACAAAAGAACTCTAGCAATTACTTCATCCAATCAAATCGCCGCCGCCCACTTGCTTCGCTCAATATTATCAACTAACAGCAGCCTTTGCAAAATAGCCAGAAATAAAACTAGTCAACCCGACAGCTCGGGTCTGCCTTCGTCTCATTTCATCGGACATGTCCTCTCCGCCATTAAATCTCTCAATACGCTCGAAATCAAATTCCCGTTCCTCGTCTTCTTCGGTAACCATTAAACTTCGACGCGCGTGATTATTGTTTTTTCGATGTCGACGTCGGGTAGCAGAGTCGGATGCTGATCGCGAAAGCCTCGTTCGTTGGGTGAGTTCGGTTTCAGCTACATCAAGCGTCCGAAGCATGCGCTCAAGTTGTTTACGTTGTTGAAATATATATGCCTCTTGATCATGAAGAGAGTAATTCTGAACATCAACAGGAAGAGCATCATAAATAGTATCTTCTGAATCGTAAACGTCACTGCTAAGCGTATTGCTTTGTGCTGAAGATTGTGAGGATGTAGAGGACGTGGATGAGGATGTAGAGGACGTGGATGAGGTTGAAGAGTAGAATCGGGATAATAAGTTCTCAGGCAACATTCTTCCAGGTAAGTATGCCTGGAGACCCGTTGAAGGAGGTGATGTTGGCGATGGTTCTTGCGGGGAGGGTTGCGGTGATGATGTTTGTTGATTATTGTTTATTTGATTAGTAATTAAGTTTTGTCCCTGTTTTTGACGGGGGATGGGAAAAATAAGAGTTAGAGTTTGAGTTATAAGATTACTATAATAAACGTGTAGATTTGGATCACAAGTCCGCATCTAATCCTATACTTATAAGACATACTCTAACTAAACCGTCAACAGCGGCTCTCTGTAAAGTCATCAGTCCTCTCCTGCTCCACTCTACTCCGGTATTCCTTGCTTGTTCTTGAGCCATATTTAGGGCCGAGTCTATGTCCTGTTCGTGTTCAGAAAGTGTTGGATCGACTAATGTGTTGTACAGTACGATCCCCCCCTAAACAAGAATCGAACGTAAAATCGGGTGATGGAATGTGATTTGAGTATGATATGTCTTATGGCTTGTTATTACATATTTTATACATATTCAGAGTATCAAATAATACCTGTGTTTGTGGTAAAATGAGCCATAACACAAACAGCGCCTTGAGCTCGTAATAGAATGGAAACCTGCAGGATGATCGATAGATTCGATGGTTTTTTTTAGTTCACTTGCAAAAATTCTCATGTCGTTGTTGTCACTCGCGTTATACGACCGTTTTGACAACCGTTTTGACAACCGTGTTGATAACGCTAAAACATTCTCTATATTCGACCCACCAGAATACGAAATTATCAGCGAAACCTTCGGCTAGCTTTAACAAAGCCAACACTACCCAATACATCAACCAAGGAGTCAAGTTCTCCTTATTATTGGTCTTAATGGCCTTGTACGAAGCATAAGCCGGGTATAGGAATCCGAATACGTTACTGTATTATGTATAAGCAATCGTTTAGTCTCTTGTACGTTAGGATTCGGCAAACTTGAAGCTACCCCGCAGTAAAGTGATAATCCGACCAAAAAACTCTGGAGAGCAAGTAACCTATCATCGAGAGAACGCTGTAACTTGACGGAGCAAGGTAATGATGGTATTTTATGAAAATGTATTAGGTAAAGAACGAATATCGTCGTGAGTGACTCTTGGTATAAGGAATTCGCAATAGAGGGAAGGGAAAATCGAACGACCGGGAATGTGTATGGATAGTATATTTACATTTCACACACAAAACACGAATCACATGACACTCCATGTCCACTATTCTTCTAAACGCTAAAAGCGCACAGTACCAATAAGGAAATGATGGTCGATTAACAAACAATACAAAACACATGTCTCGCGAAGCAACGACCTTCGGATCGTCCTCGTTTAGTACAATTTTGCTATAACTTTAATACTAACCGTGCTCTGCTCCGTCATTAAAATGCCCTCCTCCGACGAAGAAATAATCTCTAAACGGCAACGTGTTAAAATAAAGCCACGCCCGATAATCCCAAAGCCACGACGCGCGCTCGCAACCAGTCAGTCCAACACACAGACGGAAACGGCTAACGATTCAGGAACGGAGAAACAGATCAAACAGAGCAGTTTTTGCGAGGACGACGACGAAGATGGATTCTTCACAAAGAAGACGTTTACATGGAAACCGACAGCTGAAGAAACAAGTTGGTGATCGGAATTCGGGTAGGCAATCGGTTATTGTATCGAATGCACAGGAAACTTATAATCACTTTTGCACATTTTAACAGCAGAAAACAATACTCTTGGTGAAGAGCAAACAGTAACTGACGAGACGGTAGCGGGTAATAGGAAACAGAGAACCAACGGACGCAAGCATCGTAGGAAGTTTGACTGGACAAAATCGGTTGATCAAATTGTAATTGATTGTGATGAAGCTAGTGATGACAATCTCTCGTAGGTTAATGAATGTTCAATGTTAAGATTAATTTAATATCGACATACACGTTGACAATGCTAAAGCAAATGTTGATTAGTGATATCTCAGATGGAGTTGCAGAATTAATATCGATTACAAGAAAGCAAAAGAAAGTAAACGATGCTATGGATGTAACAGTTGAAAGGGTAACAGTAACACCGCCTCCGATGTTGGATCACCTTGCTGTCCGATCGAGTATGAATGGGTTACAGTAAGTCTGCATCTTGAACAGGTTACCATATTCTTTCGTGTAATATTTACATAAATGTCTGTATCTATCACATATTCAATACAATCGACAATATGGAAAACCTCAAGCCAAGCTCTGACACAATACTCGGAAAACCTTAGGAGCACGTCAAATGAGCTATTATCAGACGTATCGTGTTCCCAGTTCGACACGGAGCTTGATCCTGGCCTCATTTCTCTCGCTCAACAAGCGAAGCGGAAAGATGTGCAGAATCACGAAGGAGATAAAGTTCGAGTGTTGGTCAGACTTGTCTACCATCCTGAAACCGTTGTTGACGATCATAATAGAGCGGCAATTTCTCAGTATGAAAGACCGATGATATTTATTATGCGCCTTGTGAGTATTTTGGTGTGAGCGGAGTAGGAAAGTAGTAGCGACAAATCCGCAAGATTATTAGTAAACACTAGCGAACTTGCAGACTTGACCGGCACGTTCATTTAACCACCTTGTTCTTTGTTCGATTGCTCGTAGGAAGACAATTTTGAGAAATTGATAACACACTTTTGCGAGGCCAAGAAAATTCAAAAGCAAGATTTAGTCATTACGTACGACGAAGTAAAAGTGTTTCCACGAAGTACGCCGGCAAGTCTAGGGATGAATAAATACGCGGAAATAGGTTCGTACGAAAGTTGCGTTAGTTATCATTGCATAGTCACGTTATCCCACAAGAGTTGATTCTCGGCTAACCTACTACTCTCTCACCCACTTTGCTCAATCCCGGTTTCACGGTCTACCTATTCTGATTATTTGTTGCTCGTAGTCGCCTTTGAGAAAACGATATATGATTATCTTCAACTACAAAAAGCAGCCGAACGGGAACGAAAGTTAAAAGAAACCGAGCTGCTCACGTCCGAGTACGACACGCCAACTCCAGTTGACGACTTTGAGGAACAGATAGAAGACATGTTACATTTAAAGTTGAAGAGTAGAGACGGTTCAGTTGAAAAGCTAAAGATGAAACGAGTAAGTAGAGTTCGTGCTTTATGGACAATGCTTCGCTTACTTATGAATGTGTATTTGCATTTTTGCCAGTCCGAAATCATCAGTACCGTGATTGCAAAGTATAGATCAATTAAGAAATTATTACCGGGTGCGCAAGTTCAATTGACGTTCGAGGGAGAGCTGTTAGATCCATTGCAAAAGCTGGAAGATACCGAATTAGAAGACGGGGACATGTTAATGGTGATGGGGTGATTATTTATTAATAGAAGAGCTTTGTATGGCTGATTGGATGCTATTAATGTTGGGCAGTGCGTCTGTGCATAGCGACACGCGATGTGTTGCAGTATCTGTGATGATGGGGTGGATGGTATTTGGCGTGTTATTGTGTACAACACGATGCCGATTGTTTATTTGGGATCAACATTATGTCATACTTCGTATCGGAGCATTCAAATGTATTTCTAATACCTCCTCGAAATTGATGTTAGCATAGTTGAATTCTTTGTCTATTAATCAATTCTCAAAGTATATTAAAGCAATATTTTTGGGTTTATCATCTACGACAATACTACTTTACTATTAATAGCAAACAATGTTCGTTTGACTGCAGGAAGGGCAAATAGAAGATAATAATTTGTTCCTCCCCCTTGATATTAAAAACTTCTCTTTCCCTTAATCATGAGATTAAAAAAAATCTCGATCGAACATCACATCATCCCGAATCCTCCCCCAGCGGCCTGTTGTTGCTGCCCCTTCTTGGCGACAGATTCACTGATTTTTGTATAAACATCCCAGAACTTGGCAACACATCTGTCGATACATACTGATTCGCCTTTGTTTAGCTCTGGTTCGATGTATTTGGGTGGTATACATTTCTTATAACAAGAATCCACTATACTGTTAGATAAAGAAGAGAACAAGTGAATAGAACGTGGGAATAACATCCGAAATGCATTGCATTAACCGCGTAATTTAATCAGACATCCTCAATCGTTATTACCGATGATAGGTGTCGGTTATCATCTCCATTTCTTGTTCCACTATGGCAACATTTTGGGGATTAACTGTCTGGTTCGCTGCCGAACCGCCAAATGGAAAGAATGCCATGGTTTGTTATTAATAGTTGTTAAAATTTTTTTGCAAGTCTGTGTGTATGGTAAATGAATCACGTGAATTAGTAATGCATACGCTATACGCTAATGCATGTCCCACCCTTAAACCCCTGTTTCGCCTGATTATTGATAAGCTCCGTTATAACGGGGGGCAGTCATACAAACGTATGAGTAAGTTTGGTTTTTCCAAGTTCAAACAATTCTACTTGCGTGACTTCATGTGAAGTTTTGGTAAGACGGGGAATTGAAACACTAACGAACAAAGAAAAAACTGTGAAGGCAGTGGACACGGGACCCGAATCCAATTGAAATTAATGGAAATAATTAGAAAGTAATAAACATGATATGAATTCGGAATATGTGATGTTCTTACAACAAGTTCCAATCGACCAAGAAGGGGCGTTTTTAAATGATAGGACGAAACATCAGGGGGTGAGGGTCAGAGTTAAACTTGGCAAGTCCAAGTTGGTCGAATGTGTGCAAGACTTGGTAACAGAAAGGAAAAACGAGTAAAGGCAGATTAATTAAACAATGGGGGCTGGGGCTTAGTAATATAGATCAAACAAGGTTAGTAATTGTGATGATGGCTTGTTCGCAATGCAAAAGTGTTTCATAGTCACCTCGCGACATTCCATTGGGCGATCATCAATTAAAATGGTATTGTTTCCGAGACAGATTGCAGGCTGAGAAACGATCGATGGAAGGAGCGAAAGTGCAATGAACAATGAAGAGAACAATGGGATGCTTGTACGAGAAACACGCGTGAATAATAAACAAGGCCACGGCGTATATAACGTTGCGACGATCGAGTGAAACGGGCGGGAGTGTACAAGATTGAAAAAAATAATGTTGCGTCACTACAAGATACAACGTCTGTGTACATATCGTTTAGAACAGAGTTTTTCTGACAATATTAATAATGTACGCCATTTAATATTATATGGCAGTTACTGCTAATAATAAAGCATGACGTCATTGTTATAACAATATTCTACACTTATGGAAGACAAGACATTTCAAATCGGGAAATCGCTTCGATAATTTGCTGGATACCTACAAGATTATTATTATTCCTTGCATGTCAATGATCTTCCAATTTCAAATAAGCAACAAAGAATTTCGAATTCGATCTACTGCATTTCCCTGTACAATGCATTATTCGTTCATTCTTCCAAGACTCGCGACAACGGACTTATCGAGAAGGAAACAAGATGCATATCATTGACACGTAACAGAACTGAACGCATATTAAACCAAAATGATGCGAATGATGTCAAAACGATCATTTGTAATTTGTTCTTTTATTGCATTGTTTCGCATAGGGATTCTCTTTCTTTTTTTTTGAATTCTTACTAACTGTGGAAAAGAAGGAAATGGGTTGTAAATGATATCGGTAAACAACAGGAGCAGCTATAATTGATAAAAACAACAACACAGAATAAACACCAATGTTCGAACTAACGTTCGAACTAATGTTCGAGACAATGCTAGTTACAAGGACATGTATTACGTTATAGAATACAATTTATATTATATGCGTTCTATCGTATCGAATTCTTCGTATTATTGCTTTTCCATTGTTTTCTGTTTTACTAAATTGGTTTTAATTTCTACTAATCGAAATAACAAGATGCTCGGCATGTTTTCCGAATGACAAAGAACTTGTTCAAAGAACTACAGATGAAAGTAATTATAGTAAAAGCTTGTAATAGATAAATAAAGGCAAGAAAACAAGTCGAGTGTAAACAACGCAACGCATAGATTAATTACATTTGGTAGAACGTCTTTGATGTAATTGGCATGTTTGTACGAATTGCAAGACTTTACTAATAAATTTCACATACTCAACAATGTCCACCTAGTCGCAGATTATAATGCGTAATACTATTATTTAGAGTTGTTGTAATTGTAATTGTAATAGTACTAGTAATAGTAACATTGGACGTAATTGTAACCATATTCATTTCAAAACGAAACGCGGAGACTATTTATCATGTCGAAAATAACAATTCCCTCATTGTCCAGATCCTGTTGCATTTCATATGCGGCTTCTTTACCTTTCTGCAAACGCCAGCCTACAATGACGCTACAAGAAAGGCAAAAGAATACACCAATAAGTGAATTATACGATGACAGCGACTTTTCATTTGTAATGAATTATGATGCAAGGAGTAGTGTGAATGAGTCGAGAAACAGCAGTGAATGAATACGTCTATGCTAAATAAGCAATTCTATAATAAATGCAAAGGCGGACGTATATCCTCTTTGTTTATTTCTGCGTACTATAAGCAACGCGAAACCTGATAACATGCCTGCTGTGTGCAGGGGGTCATCGGGGGAAATAAGTAATATTAGAAAACTGCGTGTCGAATGATTTCACGTGATTCGTATCACTCCTACTAACCCGGCCGTGTCATACAATACCCTAATTTCCCAATGACTCATCTTTAGTTAAGAACGACAAAACCGTGCAGAATTATTGTCACACAGATTTTCCTCTACAGCCGAAATCTCCCAATTAATAGATAGAGTAATATCATTGATCTGAGATGAGATTAATTGGCCTTAAACAGAGAAATGAACAAATAGCAACCAGAACATTTTCCAACTGCATCAGATCTGCGTCGGCTCAGTTCCAATAATTGGTACACACCCCGACGAGAAAGGCATCATCGAAAGACCGAGGACAATATTCCCACAATTGAGTTTATTCGAATCTGTTGTTGTGATTGCTTAATTTGGCCATGTTACGACATCATATCATGCTTGTGCATTCTGGAAAGTTAATTAGGTTTATGGCTTACAAGTGCTGGCGTCGATGAGTTTCCGTTATCGGGCGTGAAATACATTTATTTGGATGGTGGAAGAGGGTGGAGGAAAAATATTGCATGTTGACAATAATGACGAACGAATCTTGATCTTAAAAGCGCCATGTGCGTAAAACGCCATACGACGTTTTGAGACTCTTAGACGCCATTAAATGACATCAAAAGTTATTGTCGAATCTAGGGCAATGGGGAAAGGGGGGGAGGACGAACGATAAGAAGGAAAGAACAACAATAACGTCATTGAGGTAATTGTAAAAGGCGTGCGTGTATACTTGCAAGTAAGTTTTTTCTTAGCGAATTGATAAACAATTGCGGTATTAATATGCAATCAATACATTGTTGTCGCAATATAGTAATTGCAGATGAAGGACCAGGGTAATCGTTAATCCAGACTTTATAATAGAGTGACGAGATTATACTCACCCGTTATTCCGAGCTCATTGTCTATGACCAAGAATAGTATGAGAAATCGGCTTGATCTTCTAATGCGTTGATGAATAGAAACAGGATCTAGATCTCTTTTTTATCTATGCATCAACCCCCTTCCACATTTCTCTCTCCGAGATAGGCAAGCTTAACTAATAAGAGACGGGATTTTCCACTGAGGAAATCAATCACCATCTCTCATTTCTCTTTATAGAATGGATATTGTCCTTATGCTCATCTCATCTATGCATCTAACCTTTTTGTTCAAATGTCTGATTAATTTCAATGATTATCCGCACAGAAAGTCGGTTCTATGCCTTTTACACTCACCTCGTTAGGAAATGTGGAGAACGTGATCCTATTGATCGATGCCAGTGCACTAATATGCACAAGGCCCTATATTCACATGAGTGGCTAGACAGTTGGAAAACAAATGTATTCTGGGTTTGGTAAGTAACCGTCTAGACAAGAAGCAATAATGTACAGTCTGTACGGAATTTTCGATGATGGGAAACGTTCAAGATGATGTATTTTTATATACTAGCGCAATTAAATATATATATATCTGGTTAATAGTAATTTCGCCCAAACAGATTTTGGTTGGTTACTTGCATTTTGTTATGTGTTTGTTTTGGCAATATTTAACTCGTAGTCATTTGATCGAAGGTTTGTTGTTTGCGGACAAGACCATAAGCAGAGACTGACCGCCCTTGACGATCGTCATCGTTACTTTTCGTTATTGCCTTATCTTAAGCATATTTCGCTCAATTTGGGGACAAAATATGCACGAAAGGTGTAAAAATAACATCCTATTGTTATTTAGGGAAATGCTTGCGTGTGTACGTACGTTTGCTTGTTGTACTCCCTTTAGAACAAGTAGGTGCTGTTGGACAATTTCTAGCTTTCGCTCATGCCATTCTTATTATAGCCTGTTAACACTTTGCGACATGGCATCATATCACGAACCGAGATAAATTATTAATTAATTATTAATGCGGATAGACTAACCGACACAATTGATAATTTAACAAAACTGTTTGTAACAGTTTGACAAGCTAAAGAACCTTCTTTCTTTCCAGTCAGTCCATTATTATTCCAAGAGATGTATCTGCGACATTTAATATTCCGCCTATTACACGAACGACCGATATAACAATAACCTAAAAATAGTCTGCCGATTGCTAGATCATAAAACGAAAGAAAGCAACATTACGTATATTTACTTGTGCTCTCTTTCGCAATTTGTATATTGTTTCAGCGCATAATATACTGTTACGCAGCAATCGATATGAGCGGTTGAAATAAGAACACCAACTAAACAGACTCAGAGTCACAGTCAGCAGACCTTCGGAAAATTATGGGTAAATGCGACAAATCAAGTTGCGTAATTTATGTAGTGTTTCATATATAATTATTCAGAGTCCGAAATACATTTTACTTTAACTTTATGCAATTTTTGGATTGCACAAAGCCTTCTAATACAAATATGGATCTCCCAACATTTATATAAAGCCCCAAGGAGGATGCTTTTTGCTGGAATAAAAAAAAATATAAAAAATAATCGTCAATATATATATATAAATATATATTATATATTATACATATACCTATTTTTTTTTTCATCACAAACACATAGATTCGAATCATTAACTCTCTTGCCGCCTTCCTTTGATCATGACATCTCAAGATTTGTCTACTCAAGTACGTCCGCTACGTTTTGTATATGAACAAGACATGAGTGAAAAAGCTCATGGACGACGACTTACCGTACAGGAACTGCTCACCGACGGAAGTCATAACACAAATATGAACACCACAGTCCATAATAAAGTTACGACGGTACATCAACATAATCCCAACTACCATTCAACGTATCCGTCACAAAGTCGCATCAACGTAACTCAGCATCAACACAACCACTTGTCAACGCGGGACGTTGATTCAGAGAACACTTCGTATCCGCAGCATTTGAATATTCCCGATAAGCCAGATTACCCACAACTGTTGACTCCCTCAACGTCACCATGTATCAATAAACCAGGCAGAGAGAGGAATTATGGAAGTAACAACAATCACCATAGCGACCGCAACGACCACAATCATCATAGTCCAATAAACTACGTTAATAACCTAAGCCCTCCTCCTACACATCATGCTCAAGCTCATCACCATCTGCCAACTCATCCTCATACGCCCGCACCCACTCCTACCCCATACTACACACCCATGCCACCCACACCTCTTCCGATGGATGACAATGGTGGCATGACAATATCATTGTCCGAACGACGCGAGCGTAATAAACTAGCCTCGGCCAAGTATCGTAAAAAGAAACAAGTACAAAATCAAGAAATGTCTGCTCGCATAAACGACATGAGTTCTAAAATAAGCTCGTTGAATGCCGAAAATTCAATGTTGCGAAAACAATTGGAAGAAATGAAAGTAGAAAATCAAGAATTGAAGGATGCCGTCGATAAACTAAAGAGTAAGATAGTTGAAGATAAAATACTAAAAAGATTAGGAAGAGCGGGAACAACGGGAAAGATTGGAAAGATCGGGACAAGGGTTACTATACCGAAGAGGGGAAAAGGAAATAATGGAACGAATGGCACCGAGCAGACGCCGCCGACAGAATCAGATGAATAGAATAAGGAAATAAGGAAAAAAAGGAAGAAAAAAAAAAAAAGAAAAAAAAAGAAAGCAACACAAATTGTGTATATCATCGATCGAATACGGACGTAGGAGACTATGCAAAGTTTGATCACGAGTCACCCTTACCAACCCCCTTTTTAGAAGAAGAAAAAGAAGAAGGGAGGGAAAAAAAAAGGATCGGGTGGAAAAAAAAAAAAGGTTGCTCCGCAAGGAAAGCAGGGAGAAAAAAATGGGGCACTATTGGTGGAAGACCAAAATGAATTAGTTATTAAGTAATTAAATAATAGTTTGTGAATAAGGTTTCGTACGCCCTGTATATTATTTGTATCTATTTAGTTTTACTCCACCTCTATAAAATCCCCCCAAAGCAGGCTTTTCACTACGTCTTCAAACTCTTCTTCTAAACCTATATTAAACTGAGTTTATATAGTAGTAAGTACCCTAAATCAACCTTACTTGGCCCCAACCCTAGCTCCAACCCCAACCTTTCCTTCTTCTCCCACTCTCCCTTTTCTTTTCCCATTCACTTGTAATTTTATTTTCAATTCTTTTTACTTTTTGTACAAAAAAACTCTGTGAAAGAAACACTTGTTCATATATACATTACATATACTTTTATTTTCCTTCTCTCTCTTTTCCCCTTTCTTTCGTTGTCTATTTTTTGCTGATTGGAAGATATAAATAAAATGGTAAAGGTTTAGGCGTTTGTAAAAACGTAAATGTAAAATGGTTGCCAATATTATGAGTGGATTAAACGTACTTATGGTAAGTAATAGCAATTAATTAGAGACTAATATTGTTTGTCAGTGATTAGTGAATGAAACATGAAGTGCACTTTCTTTTCTATTCCAGTATTTGATGGCTGCACTAGAATGGCATCAAATGACCTCAACAAATTCCATTTTTCAAAAAACACGTTCCTTTGTGACCCCGCCAAACAGCTGAAACACCGCTTTTTTTCCTACAATGATCACAAACAATGGGGTCGTTGACCATATCGAGCTGATTAGAGTATTAATAATCTGGGCTGTATAATCTAAGTTTATATCCAAATGAAACTTAATAGACGTATGACACTAAGCCCCGTGTGGTTAATGTTTATCGTGTATGTATGTGACGTTTTCTCCCCTAATTGCTGTATTTGCCCGTCCCAGCTATCACCAAAAAAATCAAAGTTCGTACGAAACGCTTGTAACACGTTGCAAAAAAAAGATTTCGTCTATCAGCATATTCGCCCAACATTTTATTGCGTATTACCAATATTAATATTAAATTGTCACAAAGGGAATTTCGGTAATTACAAACAAATCATTGCAACTATTTTGTGTCTTGAATGGGCGAGCATCACTGCCAGTGATTGATTTGTGGACAATTACTAATAATTCTGTGTCTAACAGCAGTCGGTTACGTACTCCCCGACATTCCCAATCCAACAAATCTTTTATATTGTCAATTCCCATAATTGGTTTTTGATTTTCTCAGGTAATACTTTGACATGAGACTTGAGTGGTCATCAGAAAATGGGGAAAACTGCTTATTCCCGGGTTAAGTAACATTTGTCACTACTAACCGCCGTAGTTGTCAAAAACTTCATACTTTTAGTGTAAATGTCTAGTATTAATATTTTTATTTCAAAATATTTTGATCGCGGCACGGAAATAACTGGAAAATAATTTGATTTGCTAGAAACAATTGCAATGCGTGGAAAGTGAGTAAAAGCCTATGCTTGCATTCATCCCCCCATTGATTCGGTGGCTATTTCCCGAGAATTTAGTTTACAAGCCCACAGCTCTATATCAACGATTTCTGCTCGCTGAGACATTAGAGGTGGGGTCTAGATTCATGAATAAAGTCGGTACGTGTGTTTTACATGTCCGAGAACGGTCCGATTGGTAATGGACGAAATTTGCGTTCACTAATCATTATTGAATGATTTGCCTCCTCTTCACTGTTTTTGTAGTAAACCTCGGTCATCAATGTTTATTAAGCGCAGTATGCGTTTATGGACTTGAGACACAGTTGGCTCCTGAACAAACAGAGACTTGTAAAACAACGCATCTCGATCCAAGATGCTATTGTAGATTTTGGTTGATCTACATCATTATTATTATTGGGATCATTCTGCATCATTATTGGGATCATTTACGTCATTGATGCGCATATTTAATGCATTTTTGTGCTAAAACCGCTCAACAAAACGATGACCTAGAACATTGAGGACAGCTGCAAGGTACGAAGAATGAGTTAATGTTGTGTCGGTTGGAGAAGCTGGGGGGCGAAAGGAACACAACGGTGAAAACGGAGAAACTAGAGCGCGGAAGGAAGAGACAGATGTGTGGAGGGAATGGGAGAGAAAGTCAGCAAGACTAATAGTAATGTTAGAGAAGTAATAGTAATAGTAAGGGAGGTGCCAACGACTCGGTGATGCAACCGCCGAAAACGGACAGGCTTGGTGCAGTATGTTATTGGGAAAGCGTACATTCGAAGGACTTGTGAATTAACTTGTTGACCTTGATTTTTATTATCTTGTGAAATCATTTCATATATATTCTTTCGTGTGCCAATATTCTATTAACTCATTTTCATTCTTAATGCAGATTGGATATCTTGCTTGTCCTCTTTGTTTTGTTAGTAGTTGGACCTCTGGTAAGTCATATATTTACTGCATGCTTGCCTGATCGCACTCTAACTTTTACCCTCGCTTGTCCATGTATTGTAGTTGTCATTGGTCGTTACGAGACGTAAAGTATTATGAAATCTATCACCGTGATCCTGTTATAAAGTAAGCAATTTCTTCTTTCAGAAAGGAATCGAACTATTCAGCCAATCTTTAGGTTGACATAATAGTATTACTATGTATTCGTAGCACATCGGGAACGGTACTATATGAGCGGATTACTATGGATTATCCGTGTAGCACCTTTATCCTCGCAGTACTACTTCAAACTGTAAAGGTTGGGTCGACATTATCATCAATCATATGAACTAGAGAGGTCGGCAAGACTATCTCTGCGTGTGTCAGACCGAACGTACTGAATAGAAGCGGGACTTTGACAGAATTTGGTTGAATCAGACACAGAAAAACCACTCAGCTGCAAATAATATGTGGCCTGGATTAACATGGAAATTCCAAGGACATTTAAGTTAAAATCTAAGGAAGCAAAGTAACGGTTTGCGTTATCCAACTTGTTATTAATTTCCACTTACAGTAAGACCTGTACAGGAAATGCAAGCAAGCGTATCCCCTACTCTCAACCATGATGAATTTGTTTATGGGATCGTTTCAACTGGACTTTTCTCTGTCGTGGTAATAGACGTAAATGTGCTCTTGTATCTCTACCAGCCTTAACGTTAAATGGCGAGTGAGAATGTTTGAGCGAACTGCATAAGGACAAGATCTTGGTGAATTATTCGTCATACGATAGATGAAATTCAAGTATTTCACCCGGATTAGATGTAAACGAACATTTTCATGGATTGTAATCTGTTATCTTATTATGTAATAAACTGATCTCTTTCCAGCATATCATCGTACGTGTGTCATCTTCGCACATGATAAATTGTAGAGGTTGAAGATTTCGCGTTGTCAGTCTGAATTTTAAATGTGTTCTGCCTAGCTGATTGGGTGCGAGTACTTTACTCATACTTTTACAAATCCTACATTCCAATGGCAGATACGTAAGATATATAGTCTTATCCCACGTATAGTGCAATTATTTACTATTTCTCGATGAAGGATTAGTATGGTTTGCAATAAACGGACAAAACAATCCCTATCATTTGATCTTAATTATCTTTAATATTAATGATTTTGTATAGACAACTGTTGTGGGTCATAGTGATCAAAGTTTCTACTTGCAAATCCTACATAATAAACTGCTAATGAACAATTTGGTTATCCCGATTGATAATTGGAGGATTTCGTTGAGTTTCTAGTCATCTACAGTGACTTTTACTATCTTAACAATACAATTCACACAACGTACCGTTGGAGTTTTTATCAGCCCAAAGCTAAAATTATATCAAAAATAGTATATAGAAAACTCGATAAGTTGGCTGGGCAACTTATCAAGGAATCCGACAATAAAAGAGTAGCAGTAGAGAGATTTTGTCCGACTTATCGAGTTTACCTATATATTAGTTTAGCATCGTAAAATCTAGCTTGACGTTTTCCCAAATAAAGTAAAATTAAATGGCATCTAGGCTCAGAATTTCATTTGGACCTTTGCCTATAATTTTGTCTTTATCGAAAACGTAATTAATCTGTTCGCGTACTGCCTCGGCTTGAATACAAAATAAATGAAATAAACGCCGTCCGCTTACTTACCATTTGGTCAAAATGTGGCGCGTGAACAATTTGTGCAGCAATTAGCAAGCGTCCAATAATCGACTTTTTCTCTTGTCCATTTCTTTGTTCTTCTGCTAATTTATCTCTTTAATCAGATGTTATAAACTTCCGCTTCTTCCTTGCGAGCATTATACTGTAAACCATTCTGCTTGACAGGTATCACGTACATCTGTTTTGACTTATAGTTTGATTATGAGGTGTGCTAAACATTCAGGCAGCACCGGCAGATGTGCATTATTTATCGGTTTCTGGCTTTCATGTTTCTTTGAATGCGACTGATTTTCTAAAGTCTCCGTAACTTGTAAAAAATTACTCGAGAAAGTTTTTTACAGAAGCAATCTCAATATATCTTGCTAGTATGCGGGTACTTATTATTTCACCATCCATTGCTTTCAGTTTGAACATAAAACTATACCTTGATCGATTTTAGAAAGAGTTTGAAATGCTTCACGTAATTTTGGCAAAAGCAACGACAGTACAACTTACTTCAAAAACATGTCTTGCATAGTCTGTGGAATTTTACTTCAGACACGCTTAATCCAATACATACGGTTTATTGTTGCTTCAGTCCGCACGCGATGATTTTAGCTATAAAAGTTTAATGACAGTTATTTCAAAAAACCCGTGTAACAATCAATATTCCATCACTTTTTTATATCGGGAGCCACTTGTATATATATCTTGAAAAAAAAAGATAAATTTTCTGTTTGCGTATTTGGGAGTCGTTATCGTGTATGTTTCAACCGAAGATACGTTAAGTCATGTCCGAAAATATCACCCAACAGAACTTTTACTTTATATAGAGTCAAGGCTTGCAACTTAATGACAACCGTTTTAAAGAGGAAATTAGCGGTTCCGCTTTTCTTGTAATGAACGAAAGAACTGTAGGTTTAAAATGAAAACAGTCGCAAAACTCATGGCGAAAATCACTCGCGTGTAGGGTTCAAAAACGCAAGATTTCCTTAAGAGTATTTTTCAATCTTGAAAAGACTATGTTCTTCCCTCCGAAATCCCCTTAGTGAAAAGTAGGATAGCGAAGAGCAGAGAAATGAAGAACATGATAGATATACGATTGCATTCTATTTCCTGCCTTCATTGTTCCATGCTTAATTGTTTTACCACTTGCAGAAGTGTCACCACCTCAAGATTGGGTTACTTACCGCTGAAATAGTCGGTGAACCGTTTTGTAAATCAAGTTCAACTGAAAGATTCCCGAATGAGCTACCTCTACGCGTAGAAAAATCAAACGGACTATTGATAATAGCACTTTTTTCCTAAGGCTTCATTTATTAATACACATCCCTCGCGTATATCAAGTTTGATACCATGCTCTGTTGATATCACTGTCAATATAAATCAGATTCATATGTACCTTCGCTGACATCTATATTAATACAAACTTCCAATGTGATGAAGACAATGCCATTGAATCGAGAAAATCCTCATGTTATAGCCTTGTAGCGGTGTAAACTACTTTGCAGAACAAGACCTGGGAAATTTGTAGAAAAGCAGGATAACGTCATCGTGTTTTCGCAAGCACTCTTCCTTATATGAAGCTGCTATTTGGCTTGCGCTTGCCGCATCCCGCAAGACGCAC